CCGCTGCCCCCCCTCCCCCGCTTTAGATTAGATTAGATTAATGGAGATATCCCATCTACTACAACTGGAAGGGAACCTGAAAGGTCATCGAGTCCAGCCCCTGCCTTCACTAGCAGGACCAAGTACTGATTTTGCCCCAGATACCTAAGTGTCCCCTCAAGGATTGAACTCACAACCCTGGGTTTAGCAGGCCAATGCTCGAACCACTGTTTTCTTCCAGGGAGCTCACAATGCAACTAGGCAGCTTCCGTAGTTTCGATATCAATCAAGGATTCATCACCGGAATTGGGCTGATACCTGCCGAGCTGGGTGTGGGCAGGCGTAGGGTCATTAACATCTGGAGCAGAGCTTCCCATGATGCATTGCGTCCCTACGTCCCTGGTCCCAGAGTTCAGTGCGGTTCTCTGCTCTCCATCCTGTAGCTAATGGAGATGTCTCCATCGCGTCACCCTGGTCGGGGGGGTCTCGGTGTGTCGCCCCCCCACCCCTCACTGCTCTCTGCAAGTCTGTGCTCTGATGGGTTTTGGTTCAAGTCAAGGCTGGGGGGGCGGGGGTGAGTGAGACAGGCTGGATTCTGCGCCCTGGTTCCCCCAAAACACAGAACTGACTGGTATCAAGTCACACACACAGACCCGGCAGGGACACACACACGCACACAGCCAGCAGGGACACGGACATACACACACACACACACACAGCCAGAACACACACACACACACACAGCCAGCAGGGGGACACACACATACACACAGCCAGCAGGGACACGGACACACACGCACACCCAGCAGGGAGACACACACACACCAGGGACGGACACACATACACAGACCTGGCAGGGACACACACACATGTAGATAAATCTCTGATAATTTTCATATGACTTTACATTGCGCCTCTTCATATAACCTTGTGGTGGGTCTACCCACGTGTGACCTCTGTTTTCATGGGACTTTGTATCAAAGCCGAATATAGAAACCTTGTATTGACGAGCGTTGGTGTATGGAAACTTTGTAGCAGAGCCTCATGTAGAAACTTTGTGTCAGGCCTTGGTATAATGTTATAGTCCCTAAGGATCGTTAAAGTAAAAGGAAAATGTCTTTTTGCCAGGAGTAGAACAAGATCTTCTTAATCAATTGCCCTGTTGAATGACTGAGGTGCGGATGAGGAAGGCGGGAGGCAGCACCTCCAGACAGCCGCAACCCTTGGAGAGGGGCTGGGAGCCAGACCCAAGGACAATAAAACGTGTCCAGTGGGCTCACTGAAGAAGAGCAGACATACTGACGGCCTCGGGGGTTAGAAGCGAGCACCTTCTTTTGGAAACACCCTCTTTGGACAGCATTGGGACAACCCCCAGAGACAAGCAGCACAAAGGACCAACGGACACAGACCCAGAGTTTGAAGCTGGTACAGATCTGCAGGAGAGGGAAGCTGCTATAAAAGTGAGGTGTCTTGCACAGGACCCCGGGTCTCGTCTTGTCAACATGGGAGCATCGATCCGGATCGGCAGAAGCCCGGCTCCACCCCCTCCCCCATCTAACTCACCTGGCCAGTGAAGTTAAGGGGAGCAACTAGTTGGTAACAACAACAAGATGGAGTGTGTTTGTGTATGTTTGTGTGTGTGTGAGTGCATGAGTGTAATTTTTCTATCATATGCATATGATACAGTGTTAATGAATACATGTATTACTAATAAATGTGGCGTTCTGCCTTATTCCCCCTGAAAAGATCCTGTGCAGTACTTTAAGTACAACATTCGCACACAGCCGGCAGACACACACACACACACACACCGCTGGCAGGGACGCGTGCACACACACACACACACACACACACACGACTGGCAGGGACGCGCGCACACACACACACACACACACAGACCCAGCAGGGACACACACACACACACACACAAACAGACCCAGCAGGGACAGACACACACAGCCGGCAGGGACACACACACACACACACACA